TCACTAACGACAGGCAAACCCCTTAACAGCTCCGCGTGTATTTTGGCAACTGCAAAACAAGAAAAATAAACCCTGAGAACTGCTGTGCGGAATTAAAAGAGATGATACTCATCAACTATTTTTGAGCACTGAGTCCTCCTGGCATCTGGGCAAACGGACCTCAGGAAATGTTTATTGACTAAGAATGGGAAAAAAACAGCAGAGAAGTCGAAAATACAGGGAGAATGGAAAACGATGGGTTCATCGAGGGTCCTGAGACTCCAGGAGAATATATCGCATCTAGTCCAGAGGAAACTGACCTCCGGCAGGGAAGCCAATCTCCCACTTTCTCTGTCAAAGAGGACCAAAGATAACTTGCTGAATGGGAAGCCGTGCAACGGGAAGTGTGAGGTGTGGACGCGCTTTTAAGTGGCTGCCCTGAAGGAGGAGAATGGCAGAAGAGGCTGCCGAGAACACGCGAGAGAGAGCCTGCAGAGACCCACGGAGTCCGGTGGAGACGCAAAAGCATAACTGTCTCGGGCAAAGCTGGGCAATTTTCTCCAACACTACTCTGGAGCCGACGTAAAAGCCCAGGAGGCTGACAACACATTTGCGAGCAGACGCAAACAAGAAGGCGAGAGCTTAAGCGAAAGACCTGTCTGCTTCACTGGACGCGAAGGGCAGTGCGAGAGCTGGGGGAACCGAGGAGCAGTCCCGGGCCACCTCGAGGAGCGCACGACCGAGACGACGGCCAGTCCGGCCTCCCCGCGGGCCTGGGACACCCCCCACCCCGCGCCCCGGCCCCGTCGCTGGGACACACTTACCAGCAGGCCCTCCACGTTGATGGGGTCTCGGCAGCGGCGCCGCACCGTCTCCTCCGCCGGGTCTACGAGCAGGCTGGGCAGCTTCCGCGCCGGCCGCTGCTGACTCATGCTGCCCAGCCGGCCGCCTCTCGCCTCGCACCCCGCGAGCTCTCCCGCCTTCTCCCGCTCGGGTCGGGCGCCGCCCCCGACCCGCCGGGTCCCGGGGGCCAAGCACGAACTGGACTCCTGGCCTGCCCGGAGGCGCCGCCTGGCTAGGCCGGCCCTCGGACGGGCGCGCAGTTGCCCCACGACCCCGGGAGCTGGAACGCGGGCGGGAGGAGAGCAGGGTGACCCACGGCTCTCAGGACGCCAGGCCCGCCATCTTCCCGCATGCGCAGTGCGCCGCCCCCAGTGCGCATGCCCGGCGCGGCCGGAGCGCTCCCAAACACAGACCCGCTCCCGAAGGCCGGAGCCCGAGAAGTCCCGGAGAGCGGAGTCCGCGGAAAGGATGGCGAAGGAAAAGGAAGACATGGAGCAGGAATTCCAGACGAAGGGAACGGGGCGAGAGGAAAGAGGCAGCCGGGACAACGCAGTGGTCGCCTCGGAATTCTCGACACTAAAGGTACTAATAACTGAAAGTTCTGAGCTCGCAGGGGTGTTAATTTACTCTTGAGTCCTCCGCACAGATGCTTAGTAAATGTTGGTAACCAAACCGTCGTGGAATTGTTTACTTACATGCATCTTTCCTCCTTTCCCTTTTCTTCCTTCTTGTCATTTGAGGAATAAACTATTGACTCCCTAGGTGTCAGAAATCGTGGTGCGCACAGGAGATATTCGTTTGAATTTGGCACAATCTCAGATTCCGGTGGAGGGGACAGATAAGTAAAGGAACATTTAAAGCTGGAGCCACTTTGCTGTAGCTGGAGCCACTTTGCTGTACAGCAGTAATTAACACAGCATCGTAAATCAACTAAACTTAAGTTAAAGAAAAGAAAGGAGAGTGTTTCAATAACAAAGGTTACATGTGCCAAAAATCCACTAAGCAGGTAATAAAAGGGGGAGTTTAAATGCCAAATAAATAAAATAAAATAAAATAAAGCTGAAGCCAGATGGTGTGTTTTCAGATCCTGGCTCCCCCTACTTAGAAGTTTACAAGACCTGAAGCAAGCTGCTTAATCGCTCCGTACCTCAGTTTCCTCATCTGTTAAATGGGACTAATGGCTACTTACCTCATAAGATTGTTGTGAGGATTAAATGAATTAATGAATGCAGCCTACTTAGAACTGGGAGTAGTGTGTGTTTGATATAAAAAGGTAATACCATGTGATAAGTGCAGGGTGGAGGGCAGCTACTGAGCTGTAGACCAAGAGCTTCTACCCAGCATAAGGTGGAAGGTGGGTTCCCACTAGACTAGAAATTTCTTGAGGTCAGAGGCATTCTTTAATCTGTGATCTCCAGCATCTAGCACAGTTCCTGACAAATAGTTAAGTGCCCCATAAGTGTTTGCTAAACGAATGACTTGAAATAAAGGATAATCTAGGAGAAGTCTCTAAAAGATTGGATTATGTTGCAGAATGGAGAATTTCCCAGAGTGGTTAAGTGACACCTTTACCAACCACAGTCCCCTGAGAAGGCAAGCTCTGGAGACCAGAAATGGCTGGTTTGTTTTTTTTTAAAAAAGACATAACCCAGCATTTGAGGTCTGTTTAACATTCTGCTAAATGTTCTGTACACATTTTCTTATGTAAATCTTATATCAAAACTGAAAGATAGGTATTTTTCTGCCCAATCTACAGATCAGGAAAATAAATATTAGCAAGATTTACAAAAATTACCCGAGGTCCTGGCTAGGCAGTGGCAGAGGCAGGATTTGACCTCATAGCTCATTGATTTAGTATGTGGATCGTTGGGAAGATTCTTGAAGGGTGACTAGATTTTCTAGAGCCAGAGGTGGGGTTGGGGGAGTGAAGGTGGGTGAGTCTGGGGGCAGGGGTGGTGTTGGCGGGCGCTGCAGGCTGAAGACCGAGCATGAACACAGCTATAGAGAGTCAGGCCCGTGACCCTGCCCTCCAGACACTTAACAGTACCTGTGACTTGGCTTTTTACCCTGAGACTTAATCATTCACGCATTTTTTGAGCCTGTGCCTGGCAGGAGTATGTGCTGAGGAGAGAACTAAGTCTGAGGGGTCCTTACCTTGTGCTCCAGTGGCCCCCACGTAACCAGAATGCGTAAGTACTAACTTAGAATGTGTATAACATGCTATGGAAGCGCAGAGAAGGAAGAAAAGAAAATAACTGGACTTGGTGTAAATCACAGGTGCTTTTTCACACATCTTCCTGTGAGGTAGACATTTCTAGAATACTTTACAGACGAGGATACAGAGGCTCAGAGAAGTTAAGTGACTTGCTCAAGGCCACCTCCTCAGGTGGCTCAGATGCAGGACTTCAGCCACTAAATCCTTAGCTTTGTCCATCAAGTCCTACTGTGGTGCACAGACACAGTTCCCAGCACAGAAATTCTAGTATTTCCACTTCCAGTCCTGTTTTTGTGTGTTTTTCTTGGGGCAAAATGGTGCTAGGGCAAAATAGGGTGTGGGCTTTGAGACTTTAAAATTAGGGCTGAGATATAGGCTGAAGGCCCAGGTGCGCTGGAGGAATGCTGAGAGGCCTTATTTGTCAAGGGACATTTTACCTTCCTTCTATTGTAAAATTTCTTCCCCAGAAATCTGTGAGGAAATGGCCACGTCCAATAGGGAATAATGGAAATGTTCTACACGGTCCAATATGGTAGCCACGAGCCACGTGTAGCTGTTGAGCACTTGAAGTGTGGCTAGCAAGGAACTGAATTTTCATTTATTTTAATTTAACTTGAATTTTAAGAGCCAGGGAACTAGTGGCTACCATATTGGATAGCACGGGTGAAGATACAAAAATATGGTATCACCTAGTCTGGTGAGATTCTACGTGTGGTCTGTGGACCTCAGCATTGCCATCACCAGCGAGCTTGTTAGGAATGCAAACTTTCTGGGTCTACCCCAAGCCCTACAGAATCAGAAACTCCGAGGACTTGGGTGTACTCTGTCAGGCACTGGTCTAGCCCAACCCGTTCTTTTCCAGGTGAGGAGACCAATCCTCAACCCCTCTCCAAGGGATGATAAACCAGCTATATTGAAGCCAAGTTAACTTTTCTAATGCAGTGTTTTGGGATTCAGGGCTTGGAGCAAATCCAATGGTCGCCACTCTAACCTACGATTTGCTAGGCGTTACAGCTTTCTGCATCTACCTCTCACGCCGGCACAGGTGTTCTCAGATCTTCAACGACAGGAGAGGCCAAATGGGAGGCAAGGAGCATGGTTAGGAGGCTGTCGGTCACCGAAAGGACAGCTGCTGATGGCAGAACTGGGCAGTGCCAGTGAAAGTGGAGAGCAAAGGACAGATTCAAGAGCTAGAAGATAGATGTAGAAGGAACAGAGCTTGGGGGTTGATGAAATTTAAGGGAAGACTTGGACCCGAGGTGGCGCTTTGGGTACTTGAAGTCCAGGCACAGGTGAGATTTGACAAGGGCAGGAGTGAGGGCAGGATGGGGCAGGGCCAGAGGGCAGCCAGTGTGAAAGGGCTGGCAGATACTGTCACATTGTTTACAATGAGCAGTTTTGCTTTTGTTTTTAAACTAAGCAACAGCAAAGGTAATTAAGAGGGAGCAGCTAGGGAAATAGAAAGTGAATCTAGGCTATGGGTGCCTTAGAGGTTAAAAGAAGGGATGTTTTCTGTCTTTCTTCCCTCCCTCCCTCCCTCCCTTCCTTCCTTCCTTCCTTCCTTCCTTCCTCCCTCCTTCCTTCCTTCCTTCCTTCTTCCTCCCTCCCTCCTTTCCTCCCTTCTTTCCTCCTTCCCTTCCTTCCTTCCTCCCTTCCTTCCTTCCTTCTTCCTTCCTCCTTCTTTCCTTCCTTCCTTCCTTCCTTCCTTCCTTCCTCTCTTCCTTCCTCCCTTCCTTTCCTTCTTCCTCCCTCCCTCCTTTCCTCCCTCCCTTCCTTCCTTCCTTCCTTCCTTCTTCCTCCCACCTCCCTCCCTTCATTTCTTCTCTTTTCTCTTTTATTCTTTCTTTCCTACTTTGTTTCCTTCCTCTCCACCACCCCCCCCTTTTACTTTTTTAAGATAGCGGAGACCTAAGGTTTTCATGTTGATGAGAAGGAGCTAGTAGAAAGGGAAAGCTTGAAGATGCAACAGAGAAAGGGGATAACCCTGAGAATGCAGTCAGGGATTCCATACAGAGCTCCAGGAAATTGGAAACAAGGGGAGGGCTCCACCTCCACGGTGACAGGAGCAAAGTGTAAGGACAGAGGCAGACAACCTTATAAGGTATTTGTAGCAGGAAGTTGAAGGAGTTCATGCTCTACTGAAGCCAAGGTCATCTGCTGAGAGTCAGGGGAGATGGTAGAAGTGGAGATTTGTAGACATACCAGGCACTCAGTAAATATGACCCAGCGATTCCACTCCTGGGTGTATATCTGAAAAAAATGACAACACTAATTCAAAAAGGTACAAGCACCCCAATGTTCAGAGCAGTTTTATTTACAGTTGCTAAGGTATGGAAGCAACCTAAGTGTCCATCAACAGATGAATAGATAAAGAAGGTGCTGTGGATATATATATGTATATATATACACACACACACATGCACAATGGAATACTACTCAGCCATAAAAATAATGAAATATTGCCATTTGCAGCAACATAGATGGACCTCGAGATTATCGTACTAAGTGAAGTAAGTCAGAAAGAGAAAGACAAATACTGTATGATATCAGTTATATGTGGAATCTAAAAAATACAGCAAACTAGTGAATATAACAAACAAGAAGCAGACTCAGATACGGAGAACAAACTAGTGGCCACCAGTGGGGAGAGGGGAGGGGCAGTATAGGGGTAGAGGGTTAAAAAAAGGGTTATTATGGGACTATAGGAAATCATGTGTGTGAAACTTTTGAAAATTGTAAAGCACTATAGAATTTAAACAGTTTTCATTAATAATAATAATAATAAAAAGATGGTTTCTAGCAGAGCTGCAATCCAAATTCTGGTCTTTTACTTTCTAGGTCAGTACCCTTTTTAGGAAGGTGATGAGGCACAAGGACAAACACTTGGCGGGAAAGGAGTGTCGTAGAGATGGAAGGATGCAGAAAGAGGAGAGGTGGCATGGAGGAAGGAACAGACAAACCTGGACTGGAGCGAGTCCTGCATCCACCCTTATTAGCCTCACTGGCAAGCATCTTAACCCTTAGGATCCTCAGTTTCTCTGTTTGTAAACTGAGGGTAAACATACCTCCAATTCTGCTGTGTTAGAGACAATGGACGTCAAGTCCCTGGTGCATTGAATCCATCTTCAGTGGTAACACAAACTTCCTAGCTTCACAGGGGCTGTTTCTAACCAAGTCTCAAAGCTCCCTACCCCAGTGACTAAAAATGGTTCTAAAATGACATCAAGTAGAACAAAGCCGGGCGGCTGACTCTTTGTTCTGAGGTTTTTGTTCAGAGTTTGACAAGCTTTCCAGAGAGCTCCCAAGAAGATGCTAGCCCACGAAAGTTGTCATTGGTCCAGATGCACGGATTCAGTCTCTCCACTTAGCAACAGTATTTGCCTCCTGCTTCAGAAAAGGAAACAAAAAAGTAAGCCTGCAGTTAAATACACCCACAAGGGCAAATCCCCATGAAAGCCTGTCAAAAAAGAGCTGTGGGAAAGATGAGCTATTGCTGTACGCCTGGGTGAACTCCAATGAGGAAGCCACAAAGGGGAGGGAGGATGGGCACAGGGGCTTGTCAGTTGCAGCCCCCCAAAGGGTTTCAGCCTTTCCCTCCTCCTGATTCCCACTGCCCCACAACTGCCCTCATAGTCATTGTTCCTGGACTGTTTTAACTGCTTCCTAATTCATTCGCCTGTCCTGCCATTTCCAAGGGACTCTATACTATCACTGTCAAATTAAACAACTGCCTTTTGGGGGGTGGCTGTTGACCTTTCATTGCAGGAGAAATCTTTCTAAAGCGTGGGTCTGATCTCATCACTCCTCTGCTTAAAAGCTGTCAGTGTACTTTGTCTGTATTATGCTTGAGGTTAGTGGTTTCCCCTGGGCACTGGTCACTTGCCTGCCTAGCTGTCTCCCGCATCACACTTTTGGAGGGAGGGCAGGGGCTGGGTCCTGGGCACTCAGGGGCCCCCACCACCTTATCAGAGCCATTGGATGCATCACTTTCTCTCAGTCACATTAATCTTCATTCAATTCCTCAAAAGCTTTCCCTCACTGCTGAGTCTTCTCACATCTTGTTTTCTTTGCTAGAACGTTAACCCTTTGACGCCTCCCCTAGCAAATGCCTCATCCTTATTTTTCACATTCTCCCCACCCCTCAGAAAGGCTTCTCTGAACCCCCAGATGAGGCTAGCGCCCCAGCCTCCTTCCCATGTGTTGTCTGATGAGCCCCACAACCTGGACTGATGCCCCCAGTAACCTTTCACCATCCATAGACACATTACATTATAAATAAATAGCATTTGAAAAAAACCTAAACTCTTTACTATGTTGACTTCAAAATGTAAATTCTAAAGCAAAACATGGCAACCCAAATTATAGAGGTAATAGTTTGTCTTAAATCTTTGAAGCACACCTTAACGCTGGATTTTGTTTTAATTCAGCATTATCAGATTATTGATAAGTTTAGCAACTTTTATTTTTCCTCCGACTGAATTTTATGATGAATGATACTAATGTTCTTAGTATTTCTTAAATATTGTAGGTTTACGTTAGTTTCATTTTGGGAAAAGAAAATCCATTTTATTAATTGTGTTATTGTGTTATTAATTGTGCTATTATAAAATCCATTTGTATTAATTGTGTGGAAAGAAGACTTACAATCAGCAAACTTGAAACCTTTTGTTTTCTTTGTTAGGTAGTTACACATCATTTTTATAATGAAAAAGATAAATGATAATACCTTCCCCTAAAAGAAAAGAAAGTTGCCAAATATTGGAGGATAACCACGTTGGTTTCAGACTTCTGATACCAACAGTACAAAATTATCATTAGACCTCTGAGAAATTTTGGACGATGAAAATTAAACAAGAAAGCTGTTAATTTTTTGAAGAGGCTCATTTATATGGCTCAAAATTCAAAAGGTACCAGAGTAAACAGTGAAAAATGTCCCTCCCACGCCTGTCTCTCAGCGGTGAAGTCTAAAGTCCTCTCTGAAGCTCACATTGCACGGGTTTTATATGGATTGTTGCAGAGATATTTTATGCACAAATAGTGCTCTATGTTATTTCCCCAAGCCTTGTTTGCACACTAATAATCATACTATTTCTCGATTTTTTTAACCTAGCAAAATATCTTGCAGATTGTTCCCTAACAGCGCAATAAAAGTTTTTCTCACTCTTTTTTATGTCTCCGCAGTATTATGTACCATAAATCACCCATGCCCTCTCCAACTCTGGACACTTGGGTTATTTCCAATATTTTGCAACCATAAACAACACCAAACATAGAACAATCTCATTCAGCCTACCTTTCACCCAGGTATGTGTATATCTAAAAAATAAGTGGCTAGCAGTGAATTACGAGGCCAGAGGTGACTTTAATAGATATTGTCAAATTATCCTTTAAAGAAGTTGAATCAATTTACCTCCCCTTTAGCAAGGTGGGAAATATAAGTTAAATCAATTTTCACTTGGCCTTTAAATTTGAACTGCTACATTTTATTCCACTTGAATTCTATACAAGCACAATTTAGTTTGTTTGCTAATGTGTTACTGATTGTTACATGTGTCCTACTTAAATGTTCACCTCCCACGCACTACCCCCAGGAAATACATCAGTTGCACCAAATTTGTTTTGCCCCTCTCACTCTTTCCTTTGTTTATCTAATATTTGATACCAGACAATGCGATGCTGGCAGCCGGGTTATAAGCCGACTAACCGTTTGCTGAAGTGTAGCATCTTGACTCTCCGCCAGGTGGAGCAGTCTCACCTTAGGGAGCGCATTGAGTAGGGCTGCTGAATTTGGGGTGGTCAATATTCCTGGTGATATGCAGGTGGAGTGAAGTAGAGTGGAATGCAATTGGAGTTGAATTTAAGGTTTCAAAAGAGGATGTGGCACATCTAGGCCTCAGATGTATTAGTGATCCAGGTGAAGTTTAGTATCTCTGGTCTGAACCACCTGTAGAAACAAGTCAAGTCCTACAGTTAGGGGTTGATTTGTGTTCCCCATCCCTGCCTCCTTCCACATTCATACATTGAAGTTCCAACCCCCAGCACCTCAGAATGTGACCTTATTTGGGGAGAGGGTCTTTACAGAGGCAATCAAACTAAAGTGAGGTCGCTGAGGTGGGCCCTAATCCAATATGACTGGTGTCTTTATAAGAAAGGAAATTTTGGACACTGACACACAGAGAGGGAAGAGGATGTGAAGAGACAGGGAGAAGACAGGCATGCAAGTCGAAGAGAAAGACCTGGGACAGACAGATCCTTCCCTTGCAGCCTTCAGAAGGAACCAACCCCCTGACGCCTTGATCTGGGGCTTCTAGCCTCCAGAACTATGGATGATACATTTCTGTTGTTTAAGCCCCAGCCTGTGGTGCTTTGTTATGGCAGCCTGAGAAAACCAATATACCTACCCACTCACATTCTGAGAGAATTTAAGTAAGCTGGGTTTAAGCATTTACTAGGCTAGAGAAACATTTCCTCCACAGAAAGTGATAGCTAATAACAGAAACTGGGTTATAGTTTAGAGATATTTATTATAAGTGAATAAACTTGAAGTACCCTTAAGCCATTCAGAAACCGTCTTCACATAGAAACAAGCGGTACGCTGATAACAAATGACTCTACACTGCTTGACACGCACAAATGGGAGCTTTTAAAGGCTTCAGCCCATTCCACTCTACCGCATTTTAATTGGGCGCTGTGATGGATGTGAAAAGAGGAAGCTGTTTTGCTCAGGCACAAAGGAAGGAGATGGCGTATCTACTGGTATGTGTGATGAGATAAACAAATATACATAAAAATGAAAGTGTGTGAGAGGATGAGTTTGTGTCTGGGTGTAGTCATGTGAAAATGTGTGTATGTTAGAAAGAAAAAGGTATGAGAAGAGTTGGATTTACAAGAAAGAGAAATATGGGTGTAAGCAGAATCTATGTACCAAGGGAAGAAATGTTTGCATGACAAGGTGTGTGTGTGAGAGAGAGAGAGAGAGAGGGACATTCGGTGTTTCTCTGTTGGTGGAGAGAAACGTATGAGAAGGAAATGTGTATGTATGTGAAGAAGAGTCACATGTATGTTTGAAGTGTGTGTGCATTTAAGGAGGCAGATATGTGTGTAAGGAATACGTGTGTGCAGCACATGCCTAGACGTGTAAGGGGGGGACGTATGTGTGAGGATGTGTGTGTGGGGAGAGAAGAATGTGTGTGTGTAAGCGTGTGAGGAGAAGTACATGCGTGCGATTCTTTAGGATAATGCTGGTCAAAGAAGCAAATGTGCCCAGAAGCCGTGTCTAATTGCCTTCCTGACCCCGTGGCCTCTGCGAACCCTGCTTACTGAATGAACTTAGAGATTGACAGCTCCTTTGTAGGTCTGAGGTTGGCCACCACAGTTTTTTAGTTCAGTCCCATGTTTGTCAACAACATTTTAAGCTAGCTTGATTCCCCTCATTTAAGAAAATATCTTGAAATTACTTTTTCAAGTTTTGGTTCAAGTTCAGTAAAGACATAAAATGAGTGGGTCAGGTTCGGTTCAGGAAGAAAAAAGCTATCATTCGTATTTGCGTGCTGGTGTTTAAATCAATGAACTGGGAGCAGAGAGATGATTCATCCAGCAGGAAAATAATACACAATTTTTTCACTGAATTTCATTTCTTATTAATCCTTAATTGATAGGAGTCTGTGCATTTCTAAAATTTATCATAGATTAAAAAATGGGATTAAACGGTTTCCCCAAAGTCACTGTATCAATTAGCTAAGGCATGGGACAGCTTCCTAAGAATTTTTCCCTAGCAGGAACCACTTATTCACTTTGATTCTTCTGGTGAATCAAATTATATTTTTGTCTTTATTAAAAGTGACTTCCTTTTTAATGTTGGGTTTCAAGGAAAGGAATTAATTTTTGGAACGACTTTCATATAATGGGGGTTAGGCAGGCTAACTATGGCCCATGGGCCAAATCTGTTCAGCTATCTAGTTATTTTTTTTTTTGGAGGGGGGTATCCTTTTTTATGGCCCATGAGGTATGAATGGTTTTCATATTTTTAAAAATATTTACACTTTAATGTAAATGGTTATACATTTATACTTTAAATGGTTATATAAGTACTTTTATAATCGAATAGTGTGGTTTTGCCTCTTGGCTGGCAAAGCCTAAAATATTTCTTTTAAACCTTTAAGAAAAAGTTTGCTGACCCTGTTCTGTAGAATTTTATTTGCTTGATAGTGTAAGCTGTCAAAATGTAAGGGAAAAAAAAAGTAAGTACAGTGATCATTGGTCTAGCAATTGCAGTAAGTAATCTAAACCATAGAACCAACGTATTGGTAAACGTGAATTCAACACAGCTATTCTGTACATGTGTTTACTGGAGTGGTTGAAAAACTGTGTATTACCTAGAAACACAAATTCAGTCAAGAATGTTCACTGCAGTCTTGTTTCTAATCATGAAAAACAGATCAACTCAAAGGTCCATCAACAGAAGAATGTCTGTACAAGTTGTGCCATTCATACGATGGAATACTATTTAGCAGGTAAAATGAATAACCTAGGGCTATATGTATGATGAGATGGCTCTTACAAACATCATATTGAGCAAAACAACATAAAACAAATGACTGGGTTACAGAACAAAACACAGAATATGATAACACACAGAAAGTGGTAATATTGGAAAACAAGCTATAGTTCAACTCAGGCATACGTAGTAACATGAACACATGCATATGTAGTAATAGTATGAAAACTTGATGGGATGTTTTAGGAAAGTACTGGGGGTTGGGTGGGTGGTGGTGGGGGAAGAACTGGGATCAGGGAGGGCTTTCCGGGGGCTTTAACTGTATCGCGATATTTATTTCCTACATGAATAACTGAAGTAAGTATGGCAAGAGGTTAGGATTGGCTGGTTCTTGGGCACACAGAGAGGGGCTCGTGAAGTTACTTTCTCTTGTGTGCGTTTGAAATATTTCATTATAAGACAAGGAAAATGATGGTACTGCCAATTAGAGTACAGGAAATCTACGGAGATTGATTCAGGCAACGTTTTTACCCAGGACCTGTTGTGTGCGGGCACTTGCTGGGGGCCAGACCCTCATTCCCTCATTTCCTCATTTAACCGCCCAGCTCACTGAACTGTGACTGTCTCCCCCATCCTCAAGGACACTGTCAGACTGGCCCAAGGCCACAAGGCGAGTCATGGGGGTGAGTGGCGGTGAGGGCGCCGGGCTGCTCGCCCGATTCCAGCTCTGCGCCTCGCAGGTTCCTGAAATCACAGGGGCTCCTCTCTTGCTTAAAAAAAAAGAAAGAAATACTCCTGCCCTGTGCTCATTGCTTGCTCGGTCTACCTGTGCACCAGCCTCCTGCGAGGTCTGCAAAGATTTATCGGAGATTCTTTGGTTCGTTCCGTTTCTCAAGGATTCTTCCCGACACTGGGGCCAGGGAGAGTTGGCTGGGTTCCCCCCGCAGGTGCCCACCGTTCCAGAATCTTTCTCCTCTGTTGGCCTCAGACAGGCTCCCTGGTGGGACACTGGCAGACCCCAGCTGCTGGGGACCCGGGTCCCCCTATCCCCCCCTTGCTTGAGCCGGTCCGCTGGGGGCCGGAGAAGGGCGCCCCGCCGACGCGGCCCTCCACAGGGCTCAGCCCGTGCGTCCAGGGGTGGGCGTTCTGGGGCCCTTGGCGTGGAGCCTTTGGGAAGCCTGGGCTGCGCTCCTGCTGCCTCGCAGACCTGCCTTGTCCCCTCTGGGCGTCTGCGTCCCAAGCGACAAAATGACCTCTGTTCTCCGAGGGTTCTTCCAACGTCTGTCCAGACTCCCTTCCCCGCTGAGTCTCCGTTGGCTGGAGGGGCTCCCCGAGTGGCCCTGCGGGAAGGTGGGGAGGTGTGCCGGGGGTCGGGACGGAGAAGCTGGGGGAGGAATCCCTCGGGGAGATCAGAGAAGACAGCGACGTTTCCCGAGAGCAGGCGGCGCCCCGAGGCCGGTGCCACGCCCTTCGGGTGAGGAGGTCGGACTTTGGCGAGGGGGGGCGCAGGGGCAGGGCGAGGGGACCGGGCACGCGGAGCGAAAACCCAGGCCGGCGGGCGGGCGCGGGGCTCGGCTCTGGCCCTCGAGCCTCCTCCCCTCGCCCGACGCCGCCCGGTCCGGCCCCGGCGCCGCCCTCGCCGCGACCCTTCCTCAGCGGGGTCCCGGG